GCATAGCCCCTCCTACCCAGCAGAGGGCCAAGGAAAGGGAGTCTAAGAGCAGCAACTCCCACCCAGCTCTGCCTTCTGCCTTGCTAGGGAATATGGGGCTACTTGGGTGAGGAAGCAGGGAGTGAGTATAGGGCATCCATATGACCATCAATCCTGTCGGGGCTCTCTTACTGTGTGTGTGCATGTGAGTGTGTGTGCATGAGTGTGTGTGTGTGTGTGTGTGTGTGTGTGTGTGTGTGTCTGCAAGTCTCAGGGGACAAGACAGGGGCTGTGAGAGAACTGGGAGTTCAGGTTTGAAGAGGGGAGAGAGAGGAAGGGAAAGGTGATGTGCAGACAGTGCATAAACAAGGATAACGAAGAGGCGAATCTGGAGGAGGAGATGGTGCCTAGGGAGGGATGTCCTATATCCCAATGGAGGAGATGGTGAAAGGGTAGTAAGAGGAGCTAAGGGAAGAGGGAAGCTTCTAGACTCCACTATAGGTCGGAGCTGATTTCCACTAAAAGCACCTCAAAGGGCCCATATGGATTGGGGTGGAGATCAAGACCAGAGATGGAAACTGAGAAGTGCTGCCTCGCTACCAGGCTCAGCCAATGGTTTCGCGGGCTTCTTTGATATCTCCCCTTGAACTGTTCCCTAGTGAGTAGAGATAGACACATCCCCTCCCTCATTCACCTCCACAGCCATAAAAAAGGGTAATGGCTGGTATGCAACTTCTAAAACAGTATTGAAAAAGCAGCTATTATACCCTTGAGTTGGGCACATGAATCTCCTTCCTCAGGAGATGAACTTCTTGCTTAGACTTGAGTTGAGGGGCCGTCAGTGAGCCTTCCTACATGGGCCAGTGCCCAGGCTCTACATACCAGCCAACCAGATGTACTTCCAGGTGACTGTTTAGTTTGGGGAAATAGGATAAGGAACTATTCCAGTCTCAACCATCTTATTAGATCAGCTGTGTGGAAGGAGAAGGGGACCTGCAGCCTAATTTCCAATGATCTTTGGAATAACTGTAATAGGACCCCAGACTTGAAAAACTGGATCTCTGAACAGGAAGCCAATAGTGTGGTCCCAAGAAACAGGAGATGATTTCTGGTTCCCTTTGGACAATTTTGAATTCTGGAGGAAGCCTGTGATCAGAGGAAGTTTAAATGGATTCAAAGAGTTTCATCGTGTGACAAGTCTCCCCATCTGCAAGTTCAAGGACTATTTATTCCTGGTCATTTAGCTGAGACTCATTCTGTTGCTTTTCCCTGCTCAGTGTTGAATATTCCCCCAATGTGTGGATCTGCCACATTGCCCCAGGACACAAGTTATACAATGTGGCTTGAGAAATCTCAGCAGGTCCAGCATTCTGATATCTAACCTTACTCAATAAGTAAATTCAGTAATCAAGTTATATCTCCTGATAATTTTGTGTCTGGTACTTCTTCACTTCCTCTGGAATCTATAGGAACTTGTTTTTTCCTATCAAAATAAATAAAAGGTGTGTGTGTGTTGGTGGGAGATCTGCTTCTTAACCATATCAGCAAAACTTTGAGCCTTGAATTTGAATGCAACTCTTGGATTTAACTGTTATTTCAGCAACTTACTAGTGAAATAGTTCTAGGCAGGTTGCTTTTTGAGAGGAGTTGCAAAGTTTTTATTACAACACCTATCCTGAGGACCTGAAGATCTGTTTTAGGATATAAATAATAAAATGTACAAGTCTTTATGAATTGTTCTTTAAAGGATATTTTTTTAAATTATCTTCTCATGCCATCCTTTCTTGTGCTGTCCACTCACATAGCATTTCATAGTAAGGGACTTTGTTGACATTGTGTCTGAGAGACATGTCCAGAGCTGCCTGCATTCACACTGTTTCATTCCTTGCAGGTGGAACCACAGCAGAATGGAACAAAACCTCTGAGGCTGGAGAGTATTTGAAATGAATCTTTGAATAAGAACACAGCATTTGTGGCTCATCAGAACCAAAAGTACCCATTCAACAGGATGCCTGTTAGCCCACGTGATGAATTGGTCCCATTCCTAAACTAAGATAAATTTTAGCCACATGTTATCCTAGGGCACACGGGGAGAAGAACCACCCCATTTCTGCTGGCTTTGGCTCCCTTTTCACACTATAGCCATCCCAACCAGCTCCTTCAGGCCTACCAGCTCTACTAAACTCTGATAAGCAGCCCAGAGACAAAAGTCTCTAGGAGGGAAACTTATGACCCATCCTTCCATAAGTTCTCTAGAACCCCTGGGACAAGTTTCTTTCCATATTCCGGCAAAAGAAACACTGGGGTGATGCTCAGTCCAGCTTCTGCAGGAAGAGGCAAACTTCAAACTACCTCCTGTATTCTACGTATTCCTTCTTAAGCCTTTTCACCCCAATAAGCACAGACAATAGAACACACTCCCTGTTACCATGGCTCAGTATGACAGAGTATTAATGGAAGACTTGGGAAATCTCTTGTGTATAAGAAAGTACCCTGAGCATAAGACTGAGTTTCATCAACATACCATTAGTCTTCTATGTAGAAAGAAGACTAAAATTGGATTTCTAAGTTTGCAGCTCTGAACATGAACAAGAAGGTAGATTCTTACCAGATACCAAATCTGATGCTGTTGGCTTTGGTCTAGACTTCCAGCCTGAGTGAAATACATTTCTGTTGAAAAAGTCAACAGAAATGAAACAGTAACAACTGCAACTTAACTGCATAGCACTATACCAAACTTATCTTAGTGTATTATTAAGTATTTGAAGCAATCTTCCAAAATGAATAGTATTATCTCCATTTTACAGATGTGAACAATGAAGCTCACTGAATAAATTGTTAAAAGTTATCTGGAGTCTCAATTAATTTCAGAATATGGATCTCAGCCTAATACATCTGTTCCTTTCTACTTTCTATAATATTTTCTACATTGTTGAGCTCACATAAATATATATGATCACATCCACCTTTTAAACATCACTATAACATGAACAAATCTGCTGATGCCTCAATCGATAATTTCAGCCACCAGAATCATGGGAAATACATTTCTGTTGAAAAAGTCACCCAATCTATAGTAATTCATTTAGCAGTCTGGATTGGACCAGGACATAGTAAACCTGCAGTTGGCAAAGGAATTTCGCGGAGCACACATTGCTGAGAGAACCTGAAGAGGAGCAGCACTGGTGGACTTGGATTCCACACCCTGCACTTTGGAACCATCACCACATGAGCTTCCACCTTTGAGATCAGCTAGGCTCACTCAGCACCTTCCCACTGGCCAGGGAGCCAGGAATGAAATGGAGGTGCTTGGTCACTGGTTGGGGAGTTGGCTGTCCCTGAGACAAGATGGCAAGTTCTGTCCTGCTTCCAGACAATCCCAGGTGCTTCTCTTCCTGAGAAGCCAGTCATTACTCTGGAACCCTGCACAGAGCTCCTTAGCACCCCCTCTTCTCAGAAGAGGATGGGACAGCAATAGGGAGACCTGGAAATGGAAGCAGCCTGCCCATCTCCAAGCTCCCCTGGTAGGACTCTCACAAACCCAGAGATTATGTCCTGATGGCAAAGTCTGTGAGGTCAGAGCACTGCAGGGTTCCAGAGTAATAGAGTCCTGAGCAGAAGTTAAGAGCTTGAGTGCCAAAATGTTATTTCCCCCCCCACTCCTCTTCCTCCTCTTCCTCCTCCTCCTCCTCTTC